GGAAGCAATACACCTTCAGGCAAAGTAATACTATTCTAGCATACAATGTAGTTGTCTAATGCTCCAGAAATCTGAATTTAATGTAATAGGGTAAACAAGCTACTAGGCTTAAAGATAGCGCCTGCTTTTTTTTAGCTTGGCAGCCATCTAGATCTCCAAAGAATTTCACTTTTTTCATTTCTCGGGGGCCTATTAAGGTTAGAAAGGCTAATGTAAATCCTACAACGAGTCCTCGCAGGGGATTTTGAACTTTTAAAAGTTCAGTAAGGACTACAAAAGTCCTGTTATTTTAGAAAACATCAAGCTGAAAATTGTAATTGATAGCATACTCTGAGAGTTTGTTCCAATGATAAATCACAAAAGGAAACCCACAAACGTAGTTAAAACTCCAGGGACAACTGGAAATTGTTTTCTTTTAAATGACAAGCAGCTCGAAAGATATGAGACAGAATTTCCTGAATAGAAAGTGAGGTAAGGAACAATCTCAAAAAAAAATTAATCCGAAATATGATGCTAACCTAGCCGCATCCATTCAGTTCGGGCATTTGGCTTTAATGCTACAAATTATTCTCTAAGGAAGGAGAAGCTGGCCATTAAATCTTTGTATGTTCGGCAACATTTTCTTTACCATTCTGGTTCGCTTGAACTCCCTACTTTTATTATTACTTTATAATCAACGTAATGAGCCTTTTTTCACCCAAGAGAACCAGAAAAGGAATTTCGTGTCAGTCAACATGGTTAACATTGCAAATTCTTAATACTTACTTAGCGAGTCCATTTTCTTAGTTACATTTTCAATGGGGCTTTCAACATAGTCCAGCTGAGATCCCAAACTTTGTTCAAGGAAATAAGAACAGTCTTTACGCTCAGAACGGTTGACAGCACCAAGCAGAGCCTGAACGGTCGCATTGCGTCCTTCCAGTGAAATCCATTCCTTTATAACATTTAGCGTTGGGCCTCCTTCCCTTCCCTCAAAAGCCGTCTCTCTTCCATCGGGAAGACCAAGTTCTTTGTAAAATCTAATATGCAAGAACAAAACATAACAGGGTCCAATTAAAACTCTTTCTCTGGAAGCCTCAAGACGACATTCCGGTGCTGTGGAATGTGCATTACAATGTGCTATGAAAAAGACCAATTTGATACAAAATAATTTAACTGGCAAAGTCTTGTAGCTCTATCAAGCTCTACTGTTTAGCACAACCTATTTTAATCCGACCAGTAATTTGCACAAACAAAGCCAGTAGTTATGAAGCAAAAACTACCCATTTGTTAATCCATGTTCCATTTTTGACAACATTTTAAGACAAAGCAAGACCACGATAAATGCTTTTGAAAATTAGATTGAGTTATATTTTATTGAATGGATGCTATTACACAGTTAGAATGTCTCCTTTTAGATGAACGTTACTTTTTAGTTACTAACATAACACTCACATCATACTGTAAATATTACAGAACACTGCTATAAAATAAGATTACCATTAAATGTGAAATAATGAAAATGACAATATCCCACCTCTTCCATCCATTACCCAAAACATCCTCTTCGTCCATTTCTTGCCTAAATCTTTTTAACTTCTCAGGTCTTTCATCTAGAATGTCCTGGACTGGTTAATCTAATGAATACGGACCGCTGTCTTGTACAGGCATTTTTTCAGGTGCTTTCTCGCTATCAGAAGATCCTATTAAATGAGAAGATATGAATGCAACGGGTACATTGAGAGGATATATATCTTATTACATGTTTTGGTGCATAGTATTGCTGTATATTTGTATGAGTTGTGCCGTATTTTGACTAGCCCATAGGGCGAGTCAAAACGAGTAGAAATATAAAGCGATTCCGCACACCAAAACATCTAAAAAGAAATTTATTGTCCAACTGCTGCAGTCAGTAAATTTATCAATGAAAAGAGGGTGAGTGTGACAGTTTTGTGTGGGCGCGCCGACCTGTATGGCAAACAGGTTTTCTACTGTACAAATTACTTTACAATATCGCTGTATATTTGTACTGTTATTTGGACGGTATTCGCTGCAGTTGGATAATAAAGGAATATAATGGAAAATTAGTGTTGAGAAAACCTGGTGGAATGCTGGAGAGTAAACTGTGACAGACTAATGGAGGCCGGAAGCAATACACCTTCAGGCAAAGTAATACTATTCTAGCATACAATGTAGTTGTCTAATGCTCCAGAAATCTGAATTTAATGAAATAGGGTAAACAAGCTACTAGGCTTAAAGATAGCGCCTGCTTTTTTTTAGCTTGGCAGCCATCTAGATCTCCAAAGAATTTCACTTTTTTCATTTCTCGGGGGCCTATTAAGGTTAGAAAGGCTAATGTAAATCCTACAACGAGTCCTCGCAGGGGATTTTGAACTTTTAAAAGTTCAGTAAGGACTACAAAAGTCCTGTTATTTTAGAAAACATCAAGCTGAAAATTGTAATTGATAGCATACTCTGAGAGTTTGTTCCAATGATAAATCACAAAAGGAAACCCACAAACGTAGTTAAAACTCCAGGGACAACTGGAAATTGTTTTCTTTTAAATGACAAGCAGCTCGAAAGATATGAGACAGAATTTCCTGAATAGAAAGTGAGGTAAGGAACAATCTCAAAAAAAAATTAATCCGAAATATGATGCTAACCTAGCCGCATCCATTCAGTTCGGGCATTTGGCTTTAATGCTACAAATTATTCTCTAAGGAAGGAGAAGCTGGCCATTAAATCTTTGTATGTTCGGCAACATTTTCTTTACCATTCTGGTTCGCTTGAACTCCCTACTTTTATTATTACTTTATAATCAACGTAATGAGCCTTTTTTCACCCAAGAGAACCAGAAAAGGAATTTCGTGTCAGTCAACATGGTTAACATTGCAAATTCTTAATACTTACTTAGCGAGTCCATTTTCTTAGTTACATTTTCAATGGGGCTTTCAACATAGTCCAGCTGAGATCCCAAACTTTGTTCAAGGAAATAAGAACAGTCTTTACGCTCAGAACGGTTGACAGCACCAAGCAGAGCCTGAACGGTCGCATTGCGTCCTTCCAGTGAAATCCATTCCTTTATAACATTTAGCGTTGGGCCTCCTTCCCTTCCCTCAAAAGCCGTCTCTCTTCCATCGGGAAGACCAAGTTCTTTGTAAAATCTAATATGCAAGAACAAAACATAACAGGGTCCAATTAAAACTCTTTCTCTGGAAGCCTCAAGACGACATTCCGGTGCTGTGGAATGTGCATTACAATGTGCTATGAAAAAGACCAATTTGATACAAAATAATTTAACTGGCAAAGTCTTGTAGCTCTATCAAGCTCTACTGTTTAGCACAACCTATTTTAATCCGACCAGTAATTTGCACAAACAAAGCCAGTAGTTATGAAGCAAAAACTACCCATTTGTTAATCCATGTTCCATTTTTGACAACATTTTAAGACAAAGCAAGACCACGATAAATGCTTTTGAA